CACACACGCACACGCACGCACGCACACACACTCTCACACACACACACACACACACGCACGCACGCACGCACGCACACACTCACACACACACACGCACGCACGCACGCACGCACTCGCACACACACAAATAAACATGCTGACTCGCGGCATCAGGCTCATTTCAGTTTCTTTTCTTTGGTTATTGTTGCTTATATTATAGCAGAGCGGTTTTAGGGCCATATGGAACCAAATTGTGTGATTACTGTATTAATTTTTTTATTAAATTTAAATGATCAAAAATTATGTATTAAATGTAATTCATAAATCTTTTAACAATATAGTGAAATATAAAATGCATTTTATTTAATAAATTACTTTTTTTATTTTTTTATTCTGTGCTGTCTGTGTAAATTTTTCTGGGTTCTGTATTTAATGTTTAATACAAATGTATTATCAAAAAGTTATCAAACCAATTAAACATATAATACTATTTAATATGTTTTCAGGAATTCAGTTTTTTTTTTAAAATATATATATTCTGTGTTTTGTGATTTAATACAAATTTATTACATAAAAAACAATGGTATTGTTTAATTTATTGTGAAATTAATTCATAAAACTTTAATAACTTTATTAATCTTTTAAAATGTAATCAAATCAGGGTTATTATAGTTAACTAAAGCCATAAAATATTACATTGCATAAAATAAGCATTACAAATTAAACTTATTTTTATTCCAGCTACTTGTGAAACAACATTTCTCATTTTCATTTAGTGTAATTTGATGTACTAAAATAACTTAAACTGAAACAAAAATTAACAAACTATAATAATTATGTTGCAATAAACTATAATTGCATATTTCTGTGTCTGAGCTGACCTCCTCGCTGGATGTGGGTGTGTTTGTCAGGGCAGCTTCTGCTCCGCTCGGGGTTTCTGGGGCAGTTTGTGTTTGCTGGGGCAAAATCACAGCGATCATATCACCAGAAACAACCCCACACGAGGAGAGCGTCTGTCCCGTGTCCAGCAGAACCGCCTTCCCGTCCAGAGACAGACTGAACTCCACATCAGATCTGAGCAGAGAGCGACAGACACACGAGAGCGGCTTCAGATGAGCAGACATTAACGTGTGAGCAACTAATACCACATATGTGACGCTGCAGCACAAAACCAGTCGCTGGGGGATATCTGTAGCAATAGCCAACAATACATTGTATGGGTCACAATTATACATTTCTCTTTTATGCCAAAAATCATTAGGATATTAAGTAAAGATCATGTTCCGTGAAGATATTTTGTAAATTTCCTACCGTAAATATATCAAAACTTAATGTTTGATTAGTAATATGCATTGCTAAGAACTTCATTTGGACAACTTTAAAGATGATTTTCTCAATATTTAGATGTTTTTGCACCCTCAGATTCCAGATTTTCAAATATTGTCCGATCCTAACAAACCATACATCAATGGAAAGATTATTTATTCTGCTTTCAGATGATGCACACATCTCAATTTCGAAAAACTGACCCTTATGACTGCTTTTGTGCTCCATATTAGGGCTTTCAAAACACAGCATGGGCTGCTGACCATCAGTTATGTTGTGGCTATGATGAACACAACTAAAGTTAATGCACATCTGACCAGAAACCCCAAAACTATCTAACACACACACACACACACAGACACACTCTCTCTCACACACACACACACAGACACACTCTCTCTCACACACACACACACAGACACACTCTCTCTCACACACACACACACAGACACACTCTCTCTCACACACACACACACAGACACACTCTCTCTCACACACACACACACAGACACACTCTCTCTCACACACACACACACAGACACACTCTCTCTCACACACACACACACAGACACACTCTCTCTCACACACACACACACAGACACACTCTCTCTCACACACACACACACAGACACACTCTCTCTCACACACACACACACAGACACACTCTCTCTCACACACACACACACAGACACACTCTCTCTCACACACACACACACAGACACACTCTCTCTCACACACACACACACAGACACACTCTCTCTCACACACACACACACAGACACACTCTCTCTCACACACACACACACAGACACACTCTCTCTCACACACACACACACAGACACACTCTCTCTCACACACACACACACAGACACACTCTCTCTCACACACACACACACAGACACACTCTCTCTCACACACACACACACAGACACACTCTCTCTCACACACACACACACAGACACACTCTCTCTCACACACACACACACACACACACACACTCTCACACACACACACACACACACAAGAGGAGCAGCAGCAGCATCTCAGACTCACCCCAGTCCGCACTGAGGCAGCAGGGCGTCTCTGACCCGGGCACTGAGCTCCGACAGGGTGGGTTCTGGTCCGTCCAGCTGCAGTCCGCGGGTCTGTCTGTTGATCCTCACCCTGAGCTTCATGCTGCAGCTGAAAGCAGACGCGCTCACATTCACTTTCGCTTCGGAGCGAATCACGTGACACCCGACCCTCCGCACAACACTTTACTTCTAGCTCTACCTCTAGCTCTACTTCTACCTCTAGCTCTACCTCTAGCTCTAGCTCTACAGCGACAGCTCAGCGCTACTGACTGCCTTTAGTTCAGCCTTATTAGGCCACAGCCAATTCACCAAGAAAAGCCTCTGCTGAATGTTTGCATGCAATAAAAAAGGAACAAAAACAGACGTACCTCTCACGCGAGTCGAAGCAGCGCAGTGAAGCCGAACACGTTTCCAAAATAAAAGTCCCGCGATTACGTCATAAACCTGACGCGCTTTGTCAGTCAAATAATAAAACATTATTGTATTTTATTAACTAGCAACTATTTAAAGGTGTCTAACTGTCGTAGGTCGGTACAGAGCAATTGTATTAATTAACGTAGGTGCATAATTGAAACATCAGCTTGTAATTATTTAGTCTTTGTCTTTATTAGGGTTGCTAATAAATAATGATGTAAATATAAAGACTAGGGTTGCAAGAAGGTGGAACATTTCCAGTAAATTTCGGAAACACTCCAGAAACTTTGGAAACTTTCCAGGATTTTTGGGAATATTCCAGCGATTTATTTTTTATTTTTTTATTTATTTTTTAAGTTTCCGGAAATGTTCCACCTTTTTGCAACCCTAGTCTTTATATTTACAACGCTTGGGTATATTTATGTTAATTTTCTCTACATTAATTGCAATAACCGATTATTAAACAAATCTCGCTGGCCAGTACAGCGCTTGTAATATTGGACACATTGTGTGTTCGTTACAGTGCTGCGCACACACTGCACTTCTGTATGTGACCACAAGAGGGCAGTGAACGCCTGAGGCGTCTTGTAACTGAACTTGTCCAACAGGCGGACACACACACACACACAATCAGGAATTAAACTATTAAAATATCCCGACGGTTTTGGTTTTTTAGACATGTTTTCGCGCTAAAAACGTAATTACTAATATTTAATAAAATAGCACTCGCCTTCTTCTGATGTAATGTGTGCGAGCAGCAGGTGGCGCCGAAGACCCCGAGATATATCCGTATAAAGCAAGCGAAGAAGAAGAAAGCAAGCGACGAAGAAGAAGATCCGGAAACGCGTGTGCTGTCAACAGTGCGTCTGTTAATTCTATTTTAAAATGAGTCGCTCTTACAACGATGAGCTTCAGTATCTGGATAAAATCCACAAGAACTGCTGGCGGATCAAGAAGGGCTTCGTGCCGAACATGCAGGTAAAGCCGCCGCAAACGTGACGCATTGCACTAATAAACTCTACATCATGCTTGTGTAGCAGTGGCTTCAGTCAGCCGTCACGTGTTTGTAACTCCGCTGTTATTGTGGTTTAATATGTTCAGGTGGAGGGTGTTTTCTACGTCAATGATCCTCTGGAGAAACTCATGTTCGAGGAGCTGAGGAACGCCTGTCGCGGTGGAGGTGAAGTTACAGCTCTTAAGTAAAAAAATAAGTGATTAGGGCTTTTTTGTAAAGCATGCTTCTATTATAGCAAGATTAGTGCTGGGCGGTATGATCAAAAATGTATATCGCGGTATTTTTCTAAATGATACCGGGTTCACGGTATATCACGGTATTTGTTTTTCATGCATGAGCGGGTGTTAAGCATATTTTCTACTGATTGAGAGGAAATACTGCAGTATATTGACTTAGAATGCACTATTTTACTGTCATGATGAGTACACATACAGCTGTTCCCTCACCACAGTGCAACAGTGAAAAGAGACCCCTCTCAAACAGTGCCGCGTTCCCAACGTTGTTTAAGCGACACACACCGGTATTGCAGTGTTTTACAAATTCATATCATAACAAAAATAAACACCAGTATTCGGTATGAACCGGTATACCGCCCAGCACTAAGCAAGACGTTTTATTTCATCTGTATTTTATCATCTTGAGGGCTCATTGTGAAACACAACGATGTTTGGTTTGGTTTATGGCTTGGAAATGATTGAGATGCTCCTGATTGTGCTGTATAATCAGTCAGACACACAATCATGCATGCACACCGCTGAAAGCCATAACACACCGAGCAGACTCAAGGTCCAAGTTCTTATAACGGGAACAATAAATATCTAACCATGTAATTGTTTAAATGAACACACGTGTATCTGCTCTGAATTTACTTTGCAACAACCTTTATTTATAAACGCATGGATTCAAAATGTTTAATGCAAGAAATAAAATGCAGTAGAAAAACTAGTTCCCCCCCCCCAAAGACATTTTTATATTTTTAATATTACTTTGCAATATTTTTTATATTACTATATATATTTAATTAATATTAACTTTGCAATATTTTTAGTATTACTATATATATTTAATATTTTTAGCAATATTTTTAGTATTACTATATATATTTAATTAATATTAACTTTGCAATAGTTTTAGTATTACTATATATATATATATATATTTAATTACTTAATATTGATTTTGTAATATTTTATTTTTGTATTAATGAGTATTTCATCATTATATGCACTAATAGAACAATATTTACCAATGCAGCCTATAGTTATTATTAAAACATTTGAATGCATGAAATTCTGTGAATATTAAAACCTCGTCACGCATCAGTCGAGCGGACTAAAGTTGTAATGGTTTAAATTGCGTATGCAGTATTAGTGAAAGATGCTGTTTTCACAGGGTTTGGCGGGTTCTTGCCTGCTATGAAGCAGATTGGAAACGTTGCCGCTTTGCCAGGAATCGTACATGTGAGTTAAATGATCAGGATTATCGTCACAGGAAACGCATCATGTTGCTGCTTCCTGTTTTTCTCATTTGTATCTGTTCCGCAGCGCTCCATCGGCCTGCCTGATGTCCACTCCGGGTACGGGTTTGCTATCGGAAACATGGCTGCGTTTGACATGGACGACCCGGAGGCTGTGGTGTCTCCCGGTACGCAAGCGTACACCCGTGTGATTTGAACATTTAAATCTGCTTTCACACTGCGCTGACCTACAGAGAGAGCAGCGGTCATCTGTCACGAATGAAACCGCTTCACAGTCTCTTCAGCCACACAGTATCATTACATTCAAATCACAGAAGTGCGGGGATAAACGTTTAAAGCTCGGATATAAACTCTGATGTGTACGGTAGCGATTAAAATAGAGTAAATCACCTTTTGAAAGTAATGTGACGCTTCAAATGAAGATTTATGATTACATTGTTACGCCAGACGGTGGCTGTTCAAATGTATTTGTCTTTGAATCATGCAAGAGATTCATCCAGTAATGAATCGAGTACATCTGGAGTGAGTCATTGAGTCATTCGTTCATAAATTACATGGGATTTTGTTTAGTTTGATTCTTGTTTTCTTCAGAGTCTTGAGAGGACCACAACTTCCACTTGGGACTCGAATTATGCAGTTCTATTTTGCACACAAACAGCTCTTAAAGAGTCCAGTCTTTATGCAACTTGTTGATTTCTGTTCATTTGTATTCACACGGATTTCCGTCAGTTCATAAAGAGTCACTTGCTTCATTCCTGAATGATTCAGGCGTTCGAACGAATCAATTGAATGAATGAATCAGTGACTTGCCGCCACCTGCTGGCAGACTTAGTTTCATTTTTATTGCATAATTCCAGTTTTTTAAATCATATTCATTAATTTAATTGCACTCGTGCCACCTCCGAGCCTCATTAAACGTCTGAAAATGTACCTACAAGCCACTTGTGTTCTTCTGCACCACCTCTGTAGTAGAAATTAATTTATTAATGCTAATTTCATATGAGTCCAGTTTTTATGCAACTTGTTGATTTCTGTTCATTTGTATTCACACGGATTTCCGTCAGTTCATAAAGAGAGTCACTTGCTTCATTCCTGAATGATTCAGTCGTTCGAACGAATCAATTGAATGAATGAATCAGTGACTTGCCGCCACCTGCTGGCAGACTTAGTTTCATTTTTAGTGCATAATTCCAGTTATTTAAATCATATTCATTAATTTAATTGCACTCGTGCCACCTCCGAGCCTCATTAAACGTCTGAAAATGTACCTACAAGCCACTTGTGTTCTTCTGCACCACCTCTGTAGTAGAAATTAATTTATTAATGCTAATTTCATATGATTGGTAACTTATTTGTCTTATTCTACTTGTTATATTGCACGGGTTAAAGCAAAAAAAAAATCTTTTGACTGAAAATGTCTCTTCGACTAAACGTCATTCCTCAGCCGTACCATAGTTTTTTCTTCTTGTAATTAGGAGCGCTTGTCCTCCTAATTAAAAAAATTTCAATAATCAAAAATTAGCCTTCCTAATACGAGACTTCTTAAAGTGACTTACAGGAGTATCTTTGTAATTTCAAATCTATTTCATCTTTTTAAAATTTCTATTTAAAACAATATGTAGAATAAGACATAAGTTACCAATCATATGAAATTAGCATTAATAAATTAATTTCTACTACAGAGGTGGTGCAGAAGAACACAAAAGCGGCTTGTAGGTACATTTTCAGACGTTTAATGAGGCTCGGAGGTGGCACGAGTGCAATTAAATT